AGAATTGATTGCTGAATACGAATATCGTAGTTTTAGCTCTATACAGTGCACATAAATCAATGAAAAGCGGCAAAAATCTCAGATTTGCGCAGATTTTTGGCTTTTAGCTGTGCTCAAACGTATTTTCAGCTGGAATAGCCTGTCTTGTACTAACTTCGCAGTATCTCAGCCGACCTCAAAATTTTGGGTATGCCCGCGTTACATAAAAAAGTGGCGCATGGCACTTTATGTTGTCTATAAACTTCAACTCGCTGTTCTATTTCATAGAAGCCGTTTACACTGGAAAAGTTTCGCAAAAGTTAGTTTAAAAGTTTCTAAAGTAAGCATGCGATGAAAGGAGCGTTTAATCTTCCAAAAGAAAGTTTCTCGTTTTCATTTTGTCATTAAAAATATTTTTTTGTGAAAGAAAGGAGAGAGAAGAAGACATATAATAATATTATAAATTATGATGAAAGTGAAATTTAAAACATTGTGTGTGAAGAATATATCTATTCTTCCCACGGATTTCTCGTCCTGTTCTCTTCTTTGGCAATTTCTCTTATTGTATGTGTCTATCGTTATTTTTGTTAGTTATCTATGACTCTCTTTCGCATAGTTCATGACCTCTTGGCTCGCTCCACTGATTTTCTAACTTTCATTGTACATTTTCCTAAACTCTTTATGACCTCTTGCTCTCTCTTTCTATACGGTTCACTGCTTCTTTCTAGTTTCACACTTGTACAGTTACATTATGGTCAGTGTGTGTGAGAAATAAACTCAGGAACAGTCACTTTCTGTTACACGGTGATATTGTTGAAACAACATGTATGGGTCGGAAATTGCTGTTCGAGATGGAGATATAGCCGGGACTGAGGTACACATTTCATCAATTGCACAACAATTACAAAGTGATATTCAAGAATTAAGAGATGTGCTGATAGTACAAGAATTGAGGCGTGGTGTCGATGATCTACGAGAAACAATGGTGGTGGAGGGTCTGAGACAAGGCGTTGAGGAGCTGCGTGAGGTGGTGCGGGAAGCAGACAGGCAGGAAGAAGAAAGAGTCATTGAACAAAGAAAAGTAGACAATCAGAAGAAGCTGGATGCTGAGGTACGTAAATCTGAATGAGAGAAACTAACAATACACATACCTTCTGTGCGCAGAACAAGTCGTCTCGTGCTCGATTGAGTTCTGTGTACGCTGATTCCAAGAAGGAAACTGAGATGTCTAAGAATGTACGGAAAACCGTTAAAAGTCGTCTAGTGAAAAGGCCAGTTTTTCACCGTGAACTACCTTTCTATTCGCTCGCACCAAGCCGAATCCCTTGAACTTAGTTTCCAAGAATGGATCTCACTGCCTCTTTCGATTTCACTAGAAAAAGTCGATATAACTTTAGGGATTTAAAAGACAATTTTTTTAAAACTAAACTTAGAATCTGTGAAACAAGCTAAACATATTCAAGGCACTGTTTTCGAAATTACACTGTCTTCTCCTCAAAATGGGTGAGCAATAGAGCAGGGTAGAGTGGCCAACACCCAAGTTTCTGCGACAAATCTCAGCAAAGTTACATGCTTTTCAAAGAAAAAAACCGTAGACACCTCCTCGAAGTTACAGCGCTTCGTTGAACGCGGAAGTTAGTTTGCCCATCGTGTTTTCTCAATTACATTGTTGCTGTCTTCTTTCTGAGCCTAGATCGAGCACGATGTCGCAGTGTATAAAGCGGAACAAGCGAGGATTACGAGGGAGAAAGAGGAGTTCGATAAAGAAGTACAGAGGAGCTACAATGCAAGTTTGCAAACAGCCAGTTCAACAGGAAACGACGCGTGGAGTAGTGAACAGATGTGGATAATTGACAAAGAAGCTGATGATGAACCTCAGCCAAGAATTAGCGCACCAACGCCAGATCCAACGACAACAGCAACGGTCGACAAGTCTAATTCATTTGGCACGATTCTTCGACATCGAACCTATTATGATGAGCAGAATCAACGTCTATATCTCATTTCAAATAATCGTGAAGTAAGGAAAACAGTATCGAAACGGAGTGAATCTTCCAGAGCGGTCAAAGAGGATCACGCACGAGATATTTTTCGTCCGTCTTTCACTTTAGTCTCACTTCTTGCTTATGCAAGCAAGTATTAACCAGTCTTAAAAATTACGTAAATAAGTCCCTCCCCGCTTATTTCCAAAAAACATCTTTGATTGCTTCAAGAGACCGACTTTCTCACCGAGCATATCACCCTCTTCAGAGTTCGTTTGCAAGACAGGAGTCAAGCATTTCAAATAAGAAACCGAAAATAGGTTTTCTGTGCTGCAACCTCAACAAGTAGCTTTACGGAACTTAATGTTTGACGCTGACTCCGCAAAATGGGAGTTCAGTACTCAAAACGATACAGAAGCGGGCGGAGCTCTGCCTTTTTTCTTGAGAATTAGCAGTTTTCTGCGATCTACTCGTCCAGAGACTCTTTGAACTTTTTCACCAGACAATGCACTAATTAAGCTAAAAGGCTAGTGTATTTTGTATCTTCGGTCGGAAAGATCGTAATAAAGAAAAACAAATTAGTTCTGAAAAAGAGTTTCGCCTCTGCTTCTTTTGAATTACGTTTTTTTAATAGCACAGGGGTTCAATAAGCAGAACGTGCAGTTTCACAGCCTCCTGACATCTTTGACAAAGATTTTTGAGACTGACAAGTGGAAATACTTTTTCTTTACAGATGAGACCGCTGGAAGAATGCTGTCTGTCTCCCGCAGGAAACTGCAGTATGAGTAGATGCTATGGTAAGTGTCTGATACTTTTTTCGAGCATTTTCTCCATTATCGGGCATTTTTAGAAGATAAGTCCTTACCTATCGGATGCGTTCGCTTCGACAGTTTGAACAAGAATGCTGGAAGGTATCTGAAGGACAGAAAGGTCATCGGTAAAAAAGAAGTTGACAACTGTGAAATTACAGAAGGTGACCTGCTCAGAAATCGGCTATCGACGGTTATCAATACGAATCCTGGAGCTGATTTATCAATATGTCCAAATCATCGCTATGCTTTTGGATTCGGATGGAAAGCACCGTTGCACTGTTTACATGATGGATGTGCTACCAGTAATAAACCAAAGCGGAGCAGCCTTCGCGCAGCAACAATGGAACAATGTGGAACACCGGGTCCGTTTCCGTATGGAGGTCAGCTGTGTACTGATCATAGGAAATGTCTAAGCCGTCCTCCAGAATTACCTTTCCTAAATGCTCCACTGTCACCGCTATCCACTAGAGCTTCAGTTGATTCTGTCACTAGTGACATTTCAACAGCAACAGTCGAACGTGAAATACAAAACCAACAATCAATCAATACACTATTTGAAACCATACGAGTGAGTCCACTGAAGTCACAAGTTAGTGCACCATTGAAAGGACAAAGTAAAAGTTCATTACGGCGTTTGAAGTCGAAGTTCGCATCTGCGTTGCACGCTGCTGCTCAACAAATCAGTGAAGCCATCGCACCAGGTCAAGGCCAACAACTAAGAATAATGACTGGCCTTGACGATCTGCTGAGCAACTCACGCCAAAGAACTGCGACGTATGATGCAAA